GTGTGCCTGCGGGGGAATGGCATGGGTGTGCTCCTTGGAGGGAGAGTGTACACGGTCCTCTGTCCTGAGCACATTTATCTTTCTTCCAGGTGGAAATCCTAGGAGAGGTCTCAGAAAAAGGTCTTAATGGACTATTCATCAGCTTCCCAGGTGCGCTCTTTCAGGTCCTGGTCTCCATGGATTGGTCAATGCCAGGGCAGGGGGTCATTAGTCAGTGCAGCTGGTCCTGAGGCAGCCAGGGTGTCACTTGCCTGGTTTTGCTGCTTTTCTGGGCCTGGAGCTGAAACACAACTGAGGCCTACATGTTATCTTTAGGGAGGAAAAGGTCAGGTGTCTAAATCACATGACCAGTGATGTGTTAGGGGAGGACAGGTTATCCTGGGGGTGAGGTTCTTGTTTTCCTAGTTTTGTCCTCACTAGGCATCCGGAACGTTCTTCCCTGGTGAGTTTCTATACCTGGCCCACTGTCCTTGCTCTGCTCATGTGTAACACCCACTGATATGTTAGAAGTGCATAATATAATTATATACATGTTTCTTTTTTTAAAATATTGTTGAAAGTATTACATATGTCCCCCATTGACCTCTCCCATCTGCCTCCACCTCCCATCCCAGGTGTTCACCTCCCTATTGTCTCTCTGTGTTTGTGTATACACACACACACACACACACACACACACACACACACACACACACACATTTTTTGTGTGTGTGTGTGTGTGTGTGTATTTACATTTTTTTTGGGGGGAGGTTTGCTACCCTCACTCTTTTTCCTGATGTTTTTGAACATACCTTCCAACAGCCCCCCACATCCCACTTCTACCTACCCCGACTCCCTGCCACAAAGCAGCCTTGTATGTATTCCTCTCTATGTACACATGCATATGCAGAGGTGTTGTTAATAATTACAAAGATGAGATTTTGCTTTTCTCACTTAACAGTACTCATGCAAACTCTTCCAAGTCAACGTATGCCGTTAATTTTATTTTTTTTAATGGTAATATTACATATGGGTATGTCCCATAAATATATCCAATCATATTTTTTTTTATCAGGTATTCACTTTATTTCCAGTTTTGCTATAATTGAACATTGTAGCAATAAACATTCTTCTGTGTGTAAGTCTATACGTACGATTGCTTTTATTTCTATTGCTTTCTGGGGGAAATGAATATGGTGGTTCAGTGTGCTGGCTCCCTCAACTTCCTGTTTCTGCATCTTGCGAGTCATAACCCGGTTATGAGCAGTTGGACTTTTATTAACATCAATGTATTTACAATGTAGGGGAATACATTCTTTAGTGAAAAGTCTCTAAAAGAGCTCTGTATGAACTCAATTCTGTGGCATGGTTTTAGCTCTGTGTCTATTTCCTCAGCCCTGCCATTGTTGAGCAGGAATTAACATTGCATGTCTTATTTGCAAAGACCTATTTATTTCTCATCATTGCTCCTGGGCAGGAAGACCCAGCTCCCTCTTCCTCTGTAACTGTGGGAGCTCTCAGAGGAACGCCAGACTTTATCACTCCTCTTCTATTAGGCAACCAGGTGCAACGATCTCACTTGTTGGTTGCCTGTTTTGGGGTACCAATAGAAGAAGAGGGAGGCCACTGTTTCTTAAAACCACTCATATGATTGATATTCAATAATCACCAAAAAGATGTGTTTGCACACTTTCATACTGTGCCTCTTCCCTTTGTAGTTCTGAAACTTTCACATTTAAAAAAATCATCATTTGAGGATGGGAATAGAAACGAAGTCAAACAGTGCATTTATTAAAGTCATTTATTTCAACACAGGTGTTGTTTTAAAGGTGCGCTTTGCCTCATTTCACATCTGGAGAACAGGTTTGAGAACAAGTATATAAAAGGGTTGACAACATTTTAACCAAAGTGCGTAAGGCTTATTTGTGTCAGGACACAGGAGCTCCCATTACAAAGAGCCCCTAAGTGGTAACACATCACAAACTTGCTTTGGGAATACATTTACACATTTACATTGTACATCTAAGTGGGATAGTCTAGAGCAGTGGTACTATCGTTAACAATAAACTCTTTATTGTTAGGAAAGGTCTCTTTAACCCACTGGCATTCTTTACAGATTTTCCAATTTGATTCCCATCTTCACAATAATCTAAATGGACTTTCTTTCATCACCTCCAATACCGGTACAACGTTAGCTCCCACAGTCACTTTTATTAGCTTATTATCAGCCAAAACCTTGTTAGGAGCAATTGGACTTTTATTAACATCAATGTATTTACAATGTAAGGGAATACATTCTTTAGCAAAAAATCTCTAAAAATTAAAATAACCTCATTAGGCCCTATTTAAAATGGACTTTACATTTAAAAATTTATGGTTTGAGAAGCCCATTATCTAAATAAGTTAATAATTTACCAGATACTTATTAGTATTGATTCCCTCCTGAATTATTCCATCTATAAGTATAAAAATTACTATTATAAATTACTACAGCTATACCAAAAATGAATATGAAAAAGCAGTAGTTTTTATGTTAAAATACATAGAAATTTGCTGTACTTCTTTAACGAAGTGTTTTATAAAAGTATAAAACTATAGAAGGTGCTATTTTAATAAAATTTTCTGTGTTCTTGATTCTTAAGCCAAACCAACAGCAAACATTACAAATCGTGCAAGTCAGCGCTGTCCATCAGTTAACCTTAAAATCAGATATAGTAGATTCCAGTGCAAAGAATCAGGGCCCCAAAGCAGGGCCCCAAGGTGTTTTATCCTTACCTTAACTTACCTACGTTAACTACGTTAAGTTTCAATGCAAATATAGCCTAAACTCAGTAAAAAATAAGCTAACTTCATCTCATCTTTTGTAGTGTACATGTAGAATCAGGTATTTACTGAAATAGAACTCAAAAGTTGACCATTAAAAAAACCAAGAATCAATATTAAAATAGGAATTGAATATCTTTAAATTACTTAGAAAATATAGGTCATGGTTTATGAAAACTTAGACAAATAGAAAAAGGGGAAGGGAGAATTTACAAACATCCATAACACAAAATATTAAGTGCTATTTCTTACCATACAAAATTCAAATTAAAAAATAGAGAATAGCAGAAACCAGTTTGGCTCAGTGGATAGAGCATCGGCTTGTGGACTCAAGGGTCCTGGGTTCGATTCTGGTCAGGGGCATGTACCTTGGTTGCGGGCACATCCCCAGTGTGGGGTGTGCAAGAGGCAGCTGATCGATGTTTCTCTCTCATCGATGTTTCTAACTCTCTATCCCTCTCTCTTCCTCTCTGTAAAAAACCAATAAAATATATTTTAAAAAAAATACAGAATAGTTGATTTTAAATTCTATTATCAGTCTCTTTAAGATCAAGATTGTTCTGAGGCTGAAGTTTAAACAATTTACAGGTTTAAGGATTAGCTTTCATGTCAGTTACCACATCTTCATTCGTTTTGAGTTGCATGGGAACAACGTAAACTTGCCCTAGCATTTTGCTTCTACGCCAGGCAATGATTAAGAAGATAATGATAATATAGCAGTGTCTTGAATTTTATCAGCTCCAGATCTCCATACAGGTCACCAACACCTATCATTATCCTTAATTTATATGGATAAAACAGACTGGTGAGGAAGTAAGTATAAACCAAACCAATGAAACCCACTCATGTTGACCTTCATAGCACTAAGATCCAGGGTGGCATGCTTTCTGTAGTTTTAGCAAATTATCTTTATTCTGAGAAGGAGGAGAGAAATCCTCCCCCCACCTCCGCCCCCACTCTCCCCAAAGTTCTGCATGCCAACTAAAGAGTTAAGAAAGTCAGGTATTCAGAGCGTCTGGGGAAGTTATTTAGTCAGGTAAATTACTAAAAGGATCACAGTGACAAGCCCTTAGAAGCTCTGCCTTGGAATTTCCTAAGGGGTTGGTAAATGAACCCACAGGTGAGGGACTTGGCCAAGGCCACCACCAGAAACTTATGACTAAAATGTCCCACATGGAAAAAAGTATTCTACCCTGCAATGAAGAAATGGGACAAATGCAGTATGGAAATGGGAAAAACCAGTTCCTTAGAGGGCTGCAATGGGGAATTCAGTGTAAAGAAGGGTCACTACTTCTCTCCACCACTCAGGGATGTTTCCTTCCTAAGCAGAAATTCTGTGGCCAAGCTTCCTGCCCCCTCAGGTCCTTGACTTGGTTAAAATTTAGCTCTTAAGAATTCAGCCAATTCTAACTAACAATTTCAAAGGAATTCCTACAAGTGTTGCTTGGCTTCCTAGGAATCCAGCTCCTTATCTATCATCTTGACAAGCACTCAAGACATGTGCTCCCTGGCTCCACCTTGGATATAACAGGGGACATCTTTATAAAAATTCACTTTTTCTTTGTCAAAGAAAATAAACCCTAAGCTCAAACCTCCTAAATGTTAATGAGTCAAACAGGATGATACTATTTAAAACATGGTCATCATCCCTACATTTTATGTAATGCCATGATGTGGGGTGTGGGCCAGAGGAGGGCAACAGAGTTTTGCAGTTGTACTAACTAGTAAGTTTTGTATGTGTTTGGAATATTGGTGTTGCAAATCACAATGAAAGATATATATATGTCAGGGCACATCAGACACATACACACACATATATATATATATATGTCAGGGGGATAGTAGAGCAGAAAGCCAAAATTGAACAGTGAACTAGAGACTAAATTGGGTATGGGGAGGAAGACTAAGGATATATATATATATATATATATATATATATATATATATATATATAGAGAGAGAGAGAGAGAGAGAGAGAGAGAGAGAGAAAATAGCAGAAAAACCCTCACAATGAGAATTTGTTGCTGTGGAATTCAGGAAGTAGAGGGGAAAAAAGAAAAAGAATTTGGGTTGCTTTAGGGCAGGTACTATCCAAATAGATTTATATATATTTGTTCTTCCCATAGACACACACAATTATACTTTATTTCCACTATAAGCTTTTGGAGAAAAGGTTATTCATTTTATTGGAAAAAGCCTCACAGTTCTGACTCTTTGTCATTTTCATCCAGGTAGTACTCATCATCTGTGGTTGTGTCTGTGTCACAATCTGAGTCCACCGGATCCTCTTCATAGATATTAAGTGGAACATTTGGAGATAGGCCACCTTCTGGCATCACATTGCTGGAAGAATCTGAGCTCGATGACTCAGGAGGGTGAACTATACCATCTTTCAGGAAGCCAGGGTTCTTCAGAAAACTTGGTTTCCATAGCCTTCCCTGTGTGAGCGACCTCTTTACATTCTCCAAGAAAGCCAACTGCTGTTCTTTCCCAAATATCCCGTAGTCAATGGGTCTGGATATAGAGGTTGCTGACTTGGGACCCGTTTCCGTCCTGCCACTCTGCAAAGCCCAGCTTCCATTTTCATCACAGGAGGAACGTCCAGAAAAAGATTTGAATCTTCGATCACACTCACTGTTGTTAGGGAACTCATTCCCAAGGGTCAGGCGGCTCAGGGCGTGGTCAATAGACGTGGTTTCAGAAAAATGGCGCTCCCTGGCTTTGGGAGGGTGACTTTTGCGTAGCAGGTTGCCGTGCATGTGGATATTTTTTAGACTCTTTGAGCGATAGGGGTGTGGCTCAGGTCCCCACTCCTGACAGGCAGTGCTCCTTTGTTGTTGCTGACAAATGGCCAGTGGGATGCTTCCTGTGGATTTCTCCGCAGGCTCCAATGGGAGAGGAGGGGTCAGCTTCCTTGGATGGCTGGAGAAATGAGCTTCTCTGAGGCTCAGGAAGGTGGCTTGGGCTAGGGCTCCTGACTCTCTTTCCAAACTCTGAACTGCTGTGACATCTTTAGAAGTCTCATACCTTGGTGATGATTCTGAGACATTTCTAAACTCATTCTGACGTGGTTGTGAAATGCTGTTAGACTTCAGATTGCTTAAGGGCGTCGGAGCTTCTCTGTTGGATGTTATAGTAATCTGGAAAGGGTCCTCAGATTTCTCCACATCCATCCCCTCATTATGCAACTTGCTTTCATCTTTGGATTCTGTGGACTTTGGAGTAGGCTCAGGGGACAGTGGATTGCAGTCTGGGGGAGCGAGAGACAAACCACCGAAGCCAGAGCAGGTCTCACTTGGGGGGAAGATAGTAGCTATGTGTCTTCTGGGGCTTCCATCTTTAGCTGGAAATTTTCTGCCTGCTCTGGACATGGTTGCCAATCTGTGTTTAACTGAAGATCTGCTTTTCCCTTTTTCTGGGTCATCCAAACTGGTTTTGTTTTTATTGCTTCCTGCAGGAAGTGAGAGTTGATCCCAGGCCAACCCCTGCGTTCCATCGTTAGCCTTCCCCTTCTTTGTCAGAGTTACCTCCTGACTTCTTGGAGGTAGTTCTCTGGGTTCCGACTGCAAACTGTCTAAATCTCGTTCTCTTGAATGAGTCTCCTCATCAAGATGTAGTTTATACAAAGCTGGAGTAAGAGCAAAGACTTGGCTTTCTGAGTCAGAAAGGGCTTTATCAGTCTCTTCTTGGAAATCTGCTCCTCTGACTCTCCTAGGCTGCAATCCTTCGGAGCAGTCATCGTTAGGGATGCCTGTGATGGCTTTCTGAAGACACTTTGAGCTTCCAGTAGGTGGGATGGCTGTACCACCACTTGCACACTCTCCAGAACGTCTGGTTTTCAGATTTTTGACGTGCCCTTCTGAACGGGCTGGAGGATTAGAAGGACCATTATTAGCAGATTTAATGGAGTGCTGACAATTTTCAGATTTCTCTTCTGTGACTTTTTTCTCCGGAAGCATTGATGAAGTATGCAGGGTTTCACTTTGCAACTTTCCCCGCCTCTTTTTCTTGCTTTGTGAATCGCCTAAAGGTGTTTTAGCTAAATTATCCGGGGAAATCTCTTTAGTTTTAGATTCTCCTTTATGAAGAGAAACATCTACCTCAATAGAAGCCATTTTCCGTAGTGTAGGCTCTGAGGGCCCAACACTTGGTAACTGTAAAACAGTCTCATTCTCAATGTGAGAGAGGCAGAGGCTGTTTCCCTGAGATGTTAGGTCTTCAGATGTCGTTGTTCCTGACTGCTCTAGTGTAGAATAATTTAGATTCTCTTTTTCTAAACTATTAGGGCATGTTTCAGATGCCACTTTACTTGTTTCTGTGAGTGAGTCGATATTTTCAGTGTACTTTTGGAGGAGGCTACAGAATTTTTTGCTGTGTTTCCTTGGTAGAGTGTAATATATTGAAACTATCTCAAGACACTTGACATTCTCTTCATCACCAGAAACAGAAAACATACTTGTAGTAGTCTTAACTTTATGTAATGTTTCCCCACTTTCCCCCCCTGACATGTCTGAAGAAAAAGGTAAAGGGTCTTCATTTGAAAGGGGAAATGTACCTGTCTTGGAGGCAGTGATTTTACCAGCCTTTTCAATGCCTTCTTGGCAGTGGTCCTTTTGGTGGTGTCTTTTGGTTAAAGAACAATCCCTAGCAGACGAGTCACTTTCCAGAGGGTTAATGGTTTTCTCCCAAGGTCTTGGTGTTACAGCAGAAGCATCCATGTCTGTGATCAAGCATTTTTCTCTTTCATCTTTTCCAAGCGAGGTGGATGGTACCCCTAAAGGACATGACACAGCCCTCTTGATGAGGAATGGAATGGGTCTTCTTCTAATGAATGCAGCTCCAGTGTTTGTCATTCTCTCTGTGGCTTCAGGCCCAGCTGAGGCCGAGTCTGAAACTACTTTGGAACATCTGCTTTCTGACTCTGAAGAGCTGGGGCTGGATTTGTTGGACGTGCCTCTTCCTATCGGACCGTCTGCATTCGTTTCAGACTGGCGTGGAAGTGGCTTATTCCTCAAGGAAGGCGCCATTGTCTTACTTTCTGACTTCCTGCTACTCATGAGGGAACTGGCTGCCGTTCTTGGTAAGCTGCCGTAAGTTGTGTGAAGCTCAGGAGGCTTGGAATCACTTGGATTCACCTCAGCGAGGCTACTGCTGCCGCGTGTGGGCGCTGGTTTACTTTCTATTTTGCTCAACCTTTCAAGATAGGATATACGCCGTCTTACTTTTCCTCTCCCCTTCCCAGCCCTGAAAGGAGACGGTGAATGGCGTTTGACACCAACCGCTTCGTTGTGTATAGACATAAAACCAGCTTCACTGCATTCATTCTCTGAAGGGCTCAGGGTAAACTGATTATTTTGATGCTTGCTATTACTGTCTTCGTTTTCTTTATCTCCCAGAGACAGATCTTTGCCCGAAAGACCTTTCCCGGAGAACACTGATGTAGAAGGAACTCTCAGAGCATCAAGGAAAAAATGATTTGATGGTGAACGATCTGGTTCTGTACCTGATGGCAGACCTAAAGAATCACGCGGGATATTGTGGCCAGCAGTTGACCTGCTACCATTGGTAGAATGAGTGTCGGTACATTGTTCTTCCTTGGTATCTAAAATAGCCGACATTTCTGGCGACGGTGCATTTTGATCACCAGTAGATTCAGGGCTCCACTGGCTACTTTCAATAGTGCTTGAGATATCTTCATTACTGACTGTTAGTGCCTGGTGACCACCTTCACTTGGGCTGGGAAACAATGATGGTATTCTGCTGTCCTGAATCAAAGGAAAGGAAGTTGCTGGGCCAAGTTTTCTGTTTTCGGTGTAACTTTTATCTTTCTTTGGTTCGTTGGCCTTACCTCTCTGTGATATATGAATTTCAGAAACATCTTTCCCAGAAATGATGTGGGGTGAATTTTTTGAACTTTCTGTGGTAGATGCATTAAGAACAAATCCATTGGTTTTAGCTGAGTCCTGGGAGAGGGGACTCTGAACATCAGCTAAAGGATTAGAGATTATTGTCTCCGAAACAGGTTGGGGCATTTCACTTGTTGTGTTTGTATGGCTCATCTTGTTCAGTTGTTTGTCTTTTTCCAAAATAGATCTATTCAAGTCTTGCTTATCTTCATTCACTTCTGTGGCCAAGGTATTGGGTTGGCTTTGAATAAGAGGTGGAGAATCAACTGAATCGCTGTTGGTCACAGTGACTTCTGTGTAGCTTCTTATTAGAAGAGAGGCAGGCTTCATTTTCCGCCAAGTGACTGTGGGATCCTGAAAGTTGGGACCCTGACGATTCCCTTTGTCATCAGGAATTTGGGGGAAGGAACTTCTGAATGAGGAGGATGCCAGAGTCGAAGCAGTTCCAAATGAGTAAGGTTCTTTGTTTACACGTACTTCTGCAGGAGAACTGCCCTGTTGACATTCTAACCTCCTAGATTTGGTGGAGCAAATATTTGGTATGCCAAAATGAGCCATCTGGTTTCCACTACCTTGTGACACCTCCATGCTCTCCCGTGTAGATGTATAAGGACCAAACTGCCAGGGATATGGCTCTTCTTGGTCTCTGGAAATACTTGTTCTGTAACTAGGTGAAAATGATGCCCAGTGTTGGGAAGAAACATGATGGCCATGGCCAGCTGAGGCACAATTTGCCTCAGGGGAAGTCATTTCAAAGTCTCTGTCAGAAGCGAAAGGTTTCCTACTTTGACGAAAGCCAGACCAGGGAGAATATTCTTCCTGTTGGACCCCAAAAGGACTTTGTCTAAATCTCTGTTGCCTGCTTCGTCCAAAGGTATTGCTAAAAAAAGACCTCGCAAATGGGTTGTCTTGATGGTAGAATGGCATGTTCTCTGAGTTCTCAAATGGGTCAGGACTCACTGTGCTATCCATGGAGGAATTTAAACTTACATTTTGGTAAATATTCTGTGAATGATAAAATTCATATCTCCTATTCTCCTGAAAACACCTGGGATACATATACTGGTCAGCAGGGTCAGTTTCCATTGGTGACGGTGCCCTCGGGAACTCTTCCTGGGTCGGCCTCTCTCTAGAAGAATCTGGTCTATTCCATATGATGGATGATAAAGGAGTTCTCTTTGGGCTCTGCTGGTGGCGTGGTGCTATAAATCCACTCTTGTTCTGAGTAGTGGCTGGAAAATGTATGCTTCTTGTCGTGAAACGCCCTGTAGCTGGGGAGGCTAATCGTTGCCTGCTGTCAAAACACAGAGAAGTGCTGCCAAAAGCATTCTTTTGTGCATAATCTTCTTTAAAAACCCTGGGCTCCCTTGTTCTGTACATATCATAGATCGACCTTGTTCTAGGAGAAAAGGTTCTAAAACCTTCTCTAGGGGCTCCTGGTCTGAGGATGTCATAGATGGACATGTTAGAAGCTTCATTAGAGCGGTTCTTGTGCCTTCCTGTGGTATTACCATGTTGGTTCCCACTGGAGTAAAAATGACTGAACTGTGTTCTTGACCCATAGTCGAGAGGCGTTCTTGTATTCACTGAGCTTGAAGACTGTTCCTGAGCCAGAGTGCTGTCCAAGTCATCTAAAACTGAAAGGAGAAGATGAGTGACATTTCGACATAACGTTTGGCCTAATAATTTGAGTTGTTGGAGAAACATAATAATTTTATATTTTTATCATATTATCATAGATGTGATGGCATTGGTTTTGATTATAATTTTGCAATAGTCTGATTTTACAAAGCTGTAATGCAAGTTTCTTTTCACACTTTTTTCAAAGTTATCTTCCATAATGCCTGAATCGACAGAAAGCTACGTTTTTTTAAGTGACAGGTTTTAATCATGGCCTCTTTTAGTACTTCTTTTGTGTCACGAAGTAGCTATCAAGTTTGCACAGCTAGTAGAAGAACTGATCCTGAGCCTTAACAATCTGTAGCTAAGGAATTCCTCAGGGAATCATCCTGTTAATGCTTTAATGAAAAAAAAAATTGATTTCATCTCCGAAATCATTTATCCCACATATCCACAAATGAAATAATCAAGCAATGCCAAACTATAAGGTGGGGCAGTAAAAGGAAATACCCGGAAAACAACAACAATAACACCAAAAACCAAAACAAAAAACTATGTAATGAGTAACAATAATCTGCCTTTAAAATAATTATAATAAAATCTCCTTGATTGCTGTTCTCTTTTTCAAGCTGTTCGTAGTTTTTCTTTCCTGAAATAAAGTCTTTTGCTGACCATAAAAGCAATATGTGGCTATAACAGAACATACAGGAAAGAATAACAAAAGAGGTAAAATCACCTGGAATCCTCCTCAGAGGTAACCACTCCTTACAACGCCGTTTTACTAACTACTCTTGAGGTTAAAAAATAAAAAAATAAATCCTGTTCTGCTTCTCCTCTTTATATGAAATGGAAAAAATGAGGCCAAGTCATTTTCTCCATTTTATATACGGTAACTCTCGTCTACCAGCAAAACCCTTTTCTGAAACAGAGAATTCCCTCTGGCTCTCTTTCCTCAGAAACATATTCTCTGCCAGGAACCACGTTACTAAGAGGGGTCCCTAGGTTGCCAGTAAGCTGGGTGCCTCTCACCGACCACCTCAAGTGTCCCAACTACAGGGCCAAGGTGAAGTCACTGCCTTCGCAGACTGAATTTAGTTCTGCAAGGGGATGACTTCAGAGTTACTTTTCTAGTGGCTTCTTTTGATACAGAATAATCTATGTAAAGGGGAGCTATATTTATATAATAATAACATCCATGCGTGTGTTGTACTTTTGAAATCTGTTTCTCTATTGCTATCTATCATACAAAGTTATCTGTTTAACCGCAATTAGATTTCATCACAGTGCCACTTAAGGTAGGTCCTAATCAGTGACAATAAAAGTTTACTAAGAACAGTAAACTCTACAGATACATTTCCTAGAGGTGTATTTCCTTTTCAACTGAGGTTAAATATTAAACATGATTACTATTCCATAGGTTTATCAGCCTTGGTCTGAGAATATTTGCTTACGTTCTATTTAAGCTTAAGAGTCTTCGATATTTGTGTTCATAACATATAACAGCATCCTAAGCAAGAGGATTTCAAAAATAGAGTTTGATATGTTTTGAGGATATTCATACACACTGTAATTATTTGCTCTAGGACTGGGAGTTGCAAAGATGACTTAATGCATAGACTTACCTCGGAAGAACTCATTGTCCAGCGCAGAAGTATCCCACGGAGGCACATGGCTTCCCTCCCTCATGCCTGCTGGCCTGGGGACAAACGCACTGCCCACTGGTCGGTTTTCCGGAGGTGAATTATATCGTTTTGCCTGCTAATTTCAAAACAGAAAATGCAATATTATTTCTGGGACTTCTGTAGACAGAATAGCCACATATTCCCACAAACATTTTCATTGCTTAGAAGTACTACTTTAAAGGACTGCCATCAGTTTTTCCAATGTTTGTTCCTCAACTTAATAGTGTTTAGTGTTTCTGTCATTTTCAAGTGATCACAAACTTCTCCTTACATATGTCAATTCTTTTTACTATTAGTCTTCAGGCAAGATATTGAGTCTTTCTTTGCCAAAGACTCCTACAAACTTAAACAGCACTACACAAATCTTAGGGAAGTTCCTCAAAAACAGGAAAGAAATTGAACTCTCTTAAGTTGGGAGTATTTTTTTGTTTGTTTAAAGTATTACAAATAGTAGTACATATGTCTCCTTTTTTCCCCATTGATCTTCCCCTGGCCTCCCCACCACACACACACATGCCCTCACACACACACCCCCTCCCAGTGTCTTGCGTCTATTGGTTAAGCTTATATGCATGTATACAAGTCCTATGGTTGATCTCTTACCTCCCTTCACCCCTCCAATTCTCCTAGCCTTCCTGCTGTAATTTGACAGTCTGTTCACTGCTGCTCTGCCTCTGTCTCCATGGCCCCAATGGCTAGAATTTTAGATTTCTTAACACTGCCTATTTTTTCAAGAGGTGGTTAACTGAAGCTTGAAGTGGACCTTAAGATTTGTGAACTTCCCTTTTCTCCACATCCTTGTGCACTGTTGGTGGGAATGTGGATTGGTGCAGCCGATGTGGAAAACAGTATGGAGTTAAAAATTAAAAAAATAAAATAAAAATGGAGTCCTGACCAGTGTTGCTCAGTGGTTAAAGTATTGGTCCTTGCACCAAAGGGTCACAAGTTTAATTCCTGGTCAAGGGCATGTACCTGGGTTTCAGGTCTGATCCCCAGCCCAGGTTGGGGCATGTGTGGTAGGCAACCAATCGATGTGTCTCTCTCACATTGTCGTTTCTCTCTCTCTCTCTCTCTCTCTCTCTCTCTCTCTCTCTCTCTCTCTCTCTCTCTCAATTTCTTCTCTCTCCCCCGACCCCCCTCCCTCTCTCCCTTCCACACTCTCTCAAACACAATGGGAAAATATCTTCATGTGAGGATTAACAAAAAATAATAAAAATAAAACAGTAATTACATTTCTGGGAATTTATCCAAAAGAACCAAAAACACTAATTTGAAAGGATATATGTACCCCTATGTCCTTTCCAGTGTTATTTACAAAAGCCAAGCTTTGTAGATGAGTGGATGAAACAGTTGTGATACATTTACACAATGGAATATTACTCTGCTATAAAAAGGAAGAAAATGTTACTCTTTGTGACAGCACAGATGGACCTGGAGAGCATTACGCTAAGTGAAATAAGCCAGTCAGAGAAAGACAAGTACCATATTTATGATTTCACCCATATGTGGAATCTAATGAATAAACTGAACTACCAAGCAAAACAGAGGCAGACCAGAGTGGTGGATCAGATAGGGGGAGGGAAGAAGGATTGAGCAAAAAAGAAAAAAGAGAACTCACAGACATGGACAACAGTATGGTGATTTCTGGAGTGGGAGGTGGGGCAGGAAAGTGGGGGGAGGTGGCACAGGGCACAGAGGGGACAAATGGTGACGGGAAAAATAAAATTAAAAAGATTTGTGAACTTGCCCAGCTCACATCAATGTAGGGATATTTCTCTCTCTCTATCCCTTCCTCTTTCTAAAAATCAATAAACTATTCTTCTTTTTTAAAGAACTGGATGGATGTGGGAGGAAAAGTGCTTTAATCCAAAGAGTTCACATAGAATGGTAGACCCTTCCAGAAAGACATAACGTAGTTTGGAAACACAGGTGCTGAAGAGTTTGACCTTGTAAATTTTTTCAAAAATTATCGCTAGCTTTATGGGATTTAGGAGAATGATGCAGAGCTAAAGTTGTTTTCTTTACTAGCAAATGTTTATTTTGATTTCATTAAACCCATCACTGCCCTACTTTCAAGCTTAATTTGTCCTCATAACCTAGGGGGAATTACACACTCCCACACCTTCACTTTCTTGTGCCAAAACTCCATTTGCATTTCCTCTGTCAAACTGGCTCTGTCACTCCTGACTCCACCTTAGCTAATCCTGCCCCCATCCCTGAACCATTCCAGTGTCTTTGTTCTCAGTCCCCTCTGCTACCCAGTCCTCGCCTCTTGAATCCCTTTCTTTCCCAAGTTTTTCCTTTCCATTTGATTGTTCACTATTACATTTCACCTCACTCCGAATGCCTACGCACAAATCTCGAACCTTCCCCAAACTCCAGCTTCTCTCCTTCTCCATCACAGGTCTGTCCAGTTCTAAAGCTCAGGCTCTCTTAATCCCCACATTCCTCACAGTCTAGTATTTTCACTCCAGCCTGTTTTCTTTCTCAAGATCTAGGTCAGTTATGATAGAAGCCCTGCCCACATTTCATTGACTTGTGGCATTCAGTTCTATGGAAAAGCCATAACTGAATGCATACAAGGAAGATTTATTAATAAGAAACAATCCACTCATAACACGTTGGTCACTGCATATAATTTAACACACTAGTATAAAATTCAGAAGTAGACAAATGTTAGAAGCAAAACATAACTAGTGAGATACCAGCTGTAGGTAATAAAACCAGAAGCTAATCGTTTGAGAAATCAGATCAGTTGCAGCTAAATTCTTTCTCTGTAAAATGCATCAAGGCATTGTTCTGTTTTGTGCCCTTCCTACTGTCTCTCAAGTCTTCATGTCTTTGTGCTAATAACAATTAGTCATGCTTCGTCTAAGTCCATTCTTCCCAAATCTGCAGTCTGGGAATTGGTAGAGACTAGGAACATCCGATTAAGAGAATAGTAAGCATCATTGTCTCTCATACATTTTGAAAAAAAATATTTTTATTGATTTCAGGGAGGAAAGGAGAGGGAGAGATAGAAACTTCAATGATGTGAGAGAATCATTGATCAGTTGCCTCCTGCACTCCTCCCCCCAACACACACACACACACACACACACACACACACACACACACACACACGCACACACACACACACACACACACACACTGGAGATCAAGCCTGTAACCCGGGCATGTACCCTGACAAGGAATTGAACCATGACCTTTTGGTTCATATTCATAGGTTGATGCTTAACCTCTGAGCCATGCCGCTGGGCATCTCAGCCATTTTAACACCCACACAAATTTCACATTTCCTCTACGTAGACCAGAGTACACTCTTGTGTCCTCCTGGATCACAACCCTTTCTAATGAAAATACATATTAAAGTGAAAATGTAGGAACTGAGGCTCAGGTAAAAAGATGACCCCCTTCAAGCTGGGAAGGATTACTAGCACCTAGAAACCTTGCATATGTCTGCCAGATCCTCTACTTCAAGACCAACTCTGCTCACCCCATGTGTTAAGAGTGCTTCTAACACAGAGAGATCTAAACTATATGAATAAGATAAAATATGGAGAATTTACGTACACTTAACTTTAATTCTGCAATAATATTTTTTCCCCAGTGATGAAACTTAAAAAAGTAACTGCTAGTCAGTGGTAGGAATCAGGCATAGAGAAGACTGAACTCTACCTGTGCCCTAGGGACCCCTTTTGCTTAAGCTGTACGTGAGATATTATTATTAGCCGCAACAGCAACTATACACTAATCATTCTAGGCCAGGGGTCGGCAAACTCATTAGTCAACAGAGCTAAATATCAACAGTACGACAATTGAAATTTCTTTTGAGAGCCACATTTTTTAAACTTAAACTTCTTCTAACACCCACTTCTTCAAAGTAGACTCGCCCAGGCCGTGGTATTTTGTGGAAGAGCCACACTCAAGGGGCCAAAGAGCCGCACGTGGCTTTCAAGCCGCAGTTTGCCGGCCATGGTTCTAGGCACTGTGCTTAGGGCTTCCTATGGATTACTTTATTTCATTATTTTAACAACTCTACGCAGTTGGTACTATTATTTTTTCCCACTTTGAGGAAGTGAGTTTGCAAGAAGTCAGTTATTTGCTTCAGGCCACAGGGGTGGCGGGTAGGACTCATTTCCAGGCTGCCAGATTATGGAGCCCAGGCTGAATCGCCTCTCACTGCTTTTTTATTAGTTTATCAGTGTACTGTACCCTAGCTTAGGCATCTTCTGAGGCCATGCACAGGTCTCAGAGCTGCTGGACAGCACCTGGAATTTTTCAATACCCAGAGCAGAGGTAATGACCTCCAGGCCCAAAGCACATGGATCCTGTCAGGGCTCAATTTTGGCTTCAGAAGCCACCCCCGAATAATGTTCCATGTCATGTGGCTGCCATAAAAAAGAAAGTATGTGTTCCATTCCTGGCCTAGAAGATGAGGTTAAAATACCTCTATGCAGCCGAAACCGGTTTGGCTCAGTGGTAGAGCGTCGGTCTGCGGACTGAGGGGTCCCAGGTTCGATTCCACTCAAGGACATGTACCTGAGTTGCGGGCACATCCCCAGTAGTGGGTGTGCAAGAGGCAGCTGGTTGATGTTTCTCTCTCATCGACTTTTCTAGCTCTCTATATCTCTCCCTTCCTCTCTGTAAAAATTCAATAAAATATATTTATAAAAAAATAAAAAACAACAACAACAATAACAAAACACACACACACCTCTATGCAGCAAAATAGTGCCCAAATCATTTTCCGGCTTTTGATTTAAGTCTTTCCCTCCCTCAACTCTCTTCAAGGAGCCTGTGCTCTGAGCACACCACACAGTTCTCTAAAATGCTGCACACTTCTTCCTCCGCCTCCACATCTCTGCTCCTGGCCTCGCTCTTTTTCTTCTTCTCCTGAAAAATATCAGCTCAACCTTCAGAGTCTAGTTCTTGATCTTTGTGAGCCCTTCTCCCATTGTCCCAGGAAGAATGAATGACCACAGTATATTGGTATGCACCTCTGGTAAGATAGCTATTATGTCATAGCAAGGTCCTTTACATTCTCAGCAACTCTGATGTTTGATAACATTACTCCTATATTAATTTTTCAATACACTTTCAAAATAACCTATCTCATCTGATCCTTACATCAAGTTTGTTCATCATTTTGCAGATGAACAAACTGAGTCTTGGGTAAGTGATACAAATAATATATGGTAGCACTGGCTACCCACACTCACTGATCTCATCCCTAACACTGTTCTTCCCACTCTGTTGCTTTTACTAATGTACATATCTTCAATTAGATTATAAACTCTCTGAAGACAGAAACTTTGCTTTAAACATTCCATAGCCTTCATGCTCACCATTATGGGCTGATTTACAATATAATAAGGTAGAAAATTACATTTATAAAATTTCCAGTACACATTATTACAGAAATTGAGATGCTGAATATTTATAACATTAGGATTCAGAAAATTATGCCTGAGATGAGAAAGTATAATGGTTAAACACATGAGATCCATAGAGATCCAAATCTTTGTTCTGCCCCTTAAAAGCTGTATAACTTTGGGCAAGTTACCACATCTTTCGGTACCTTAGTTTCTTTCTTTTTTTGTAAAATGGGAAAAATTATAACAACGGCAACAGCAAAACCCTACCTCACAAGATGAAATGAATTAATACACCGAGTGGCCAGATTATTTTGATCTCTGAATGCATAATAATCTGCGACTCAGTGTATATCCTACATCCTCCTATCCTATATAATAAAAGACAAATATGCAAATTGTCCTCTGGACCAGGAGTTCAACCATCAGGCATACCGGCCTACCGCCCATGTCCCTTTCCCCTGACCAGGCTGGCCGGATCCCACCCATGTACAAATTCATTCACTGGGCCTCTAGTACACACACATACACACACACACACACACACACACACACACACACACACGCACACGCACTGAGTGGCCAGATTATTATGTGTTCAGAGATCATAATAACTTGGTCACTCAATGTAGTTGTAGAACAACAGCTTGGAATGGTGTCCCGGGCTTGTAAGTCCATATTGTTATCATTACTACTCTCCTGTGGTTTCAGAAGATTTCCTGGAGCACTAACAATAAGCTAGAAAAATGTCCCACAGGGTAGAGTCTCAAAATGCCAGATTTTAGGATCTCAGTAACATTCTCAAACACGGTGAATCACATGTGAGCAACATGAGGCCTTCTAAGCAACCCCAATGCACTCTACTGATATTGTTTGCCATTCTGACATGACGAGACAAACAAACCTGTCACAGAGTAACCTTAAACTATTTGAGAACTTCCTGGAGCAGACAAACCTGCAGAACAACTGCTGGAGCAGAAGTCTAAGCGCACTGATGTTATCAAATGCCTTGGTAAAGTCAACAAAGTCATTTTTCAAGATGTCCCTGAATTTGTTCTGTGTCTGCTTTCCGGCAAAGGTCAAATTTACCAACGCACTCTGAGGCTTAAAACCACCACTCATTCATTTCTTCTTTCAATTCCTGAGAGTCAGGTTGTGCCAGGCTGTGGGCATACACAGGTGGGCAGACAGTCCTGGCTGCAAGGAGCCCACACTGGCCCAGAGGGTAAGTCCATTGGGGCTGTGTTTCTAGGATCCCAGAGCTGGCATATTACCTGACAGCAGGCCCCGCCAAAATTCGTTCAGATTTGAGGAGTGATCAAGTGGCCAAGGCCTTATGCTTTGTTTCTATTCTCATTGATGGTGACTATTTTGACTGAGGATTTTCACCTGTAAGGAGATGGAGCTCAACTGAAAGCAATTGCTCTTTAAGGAACATTTGGTGATTCTGGAGATATTAAAAAATAGTTTTGTTGATGATTTAGAAAGAGAGGAAGGGAGAGGGAGAGAGAGAGAGAAACATTGATGTGAGAGAGAAACATCCATCGGTTATCTCTTGCATGAGGGAATTGAGCCCAAAACCAGAGTGTGTGCCCTGACTGGAAATTGGACTGGTAACATTTTGGTGCACAGGACGATGCCCAATCAACTGAGCCACACTAGCCAGGGCTGGAGACATTTTTGATTATCACAATTGAGTGGAGAACCATGGACATTTAGTAGGTAGAAGCCAGGGATACTACTAAACATCCTACAATACACAGGACAGTCCCCAACAGAGAATTATCCAGCCCCAAATGGCAATAGTGCTGATGTTGAGAGAAACTCTGAGCTGCATGTCTCTAAATTTCTCTGTTTTCTCAAATCCTTTGTTTCTTTTAATCTGGAGCAAAATGTTTAATAGAAGCTTTCTTCTCTTTTGAGTGGAAGGTTATCTAATAATGTAGTACAATCCTATATAATAAAAGCCTAATATGCTAAGTATAGAGTCTACCTGTTGGCTGTTCAATCAATCAAAGTGTAATATGCTAATGATATGCTAAGACCGCTCAACTGCTCACTATGACGTGCATTGACCATCAGGAGGCAGATGCTCCAACCTATAGGTTAGCTTGCTACTGGGGTCCGGCCAATGGGATCTGAGGGAGATGGCCCACCCGTGGTGCCTCCAAGACTGGCCAACCTCCCGTATCCCTCCCTGGCCCGGATCGTGCACTGGTGGGGTCCCTTGGCCTGGCCTGTGCCCTCTAGCAATCCAGGGGATGTCAGAGAGCTAGTTTTGGCCCAATCCTGCAGGTCAGGCCTCTAGTCTCCTATAAAATACCAGAATCCTCTCTGCACCATTCCTGCCAGGTTGCCAACCAAGTGATGGAAAGCTCATTACCCTAAATCTTGGCAAGAATCCCTCTAGCATTAACAGCCAACTTCCAGCTTCCTGGAGCCTTAAGGGGATAGGGCTTCCATGAATAAATAATGGAAATCTACATATTCTACAAAACCTTTGTTTTAGACCAGGGGTGAGGAACCTTTTTTCTGCTAAGGGTCATTTGGATATTTATAACATGATTCTGGGGCCATACACAATGATCAACTTAAAAATTAGCCTGCTATATTTGGTCAAACATTTAATTAACTCACTCCTAATGGCTTGGCAGAGCCAGGCGAAATGTTTGTGTGGGCCTTATACGCCCCACCGGCTGGATGGTCCCCACCCAGTTTTAGACAGTTTTATTATTGTCTCCCTCCTACTTCTTATAAAAGTTATTAACTGGGTGGGATCAACAATCAGTGGTGCGAGTTGCTGTATTTTCCCAGTTCTTACCTTTTATAGCGACACAATATGAGCAGGGAAAGGGTTCAATGCAAGCAGCAATCGAGAATGCCAAAGGAAAAAAATCTATTGATCCTCAGATTGGGTTTTCAAATCCTGAGCATTCCAAATTGTTCTACAGTTTTCTAACTTCTAGGCAGTTGCATTTCTTTTTATAGTCCTCATCTGCTTCCGAGGCCATGGCTCTCAGGCGGGAGAGGCCAGTGAGCTTGAGCACTTCTCTCCAAGGAAGAGCGTGAACACAGAAGTGTCCTGGAGCAGGCTCTGCCTCTTAGAGTAAGGTGACCAAATGTCCCGCTTTTGGCAGGACAGTCCGATTTTTAACAAATTGTCCCGCAGCGTTTTAAAAAAGTCCCAAAAAATGCCGCAGGATGTGGGACAAATTGTTAAAAATCGGGACTGTCCTGCCAAAAGCGGTCGTCTGGTCATCTTATCTTAGGGAGCAAAGCTCTGTCCGCTGCGCCTCCGTTAAAGGCGAGTCTGCAGGGAGTGAGCACCTGGGGGCTCACATGCAAACAGGGCTTGGGGGCGGACTCAGCTGTAGGCATTATTACCTTCCGCCTGGGAGTTCCAGAGACGCAGTACTCCTAATCCTGGCTCTACCACTGACCAGTGGCCTTGAGCATCTTTACATTCTCTAAACCTCACTTTTTTCATCTTTAAAATGGGGACTTGACACAGTTCCTCTGGGGAATAGCTGAAATGATCTTTGAGTATGGCAGCTGGTGCTGATGTCTTGTTTGGGGCTCAAGCATATAAAGGAGAGGGACAGGGTTCAGTGTCATCCAGAAGGAAGGAACAAAGCAGCATTACTCTGAAAGAAAAGGGGAGCTCACTTGTTTTTAAAGGACCTCTGTGTATATGCATTCCCCACTAGAATTCTACCTCATGCTTTTTGCAAAAACAAAAACAAGAGAGAAGGGCATGAAGAATATCTCCACCTCTGCCTACACTCTTAGGTCTCTTCCAAAATACTTATTCTTTCACCTCCAAACCACACGAGTTACACAGAAAGTCACAGGCGAGTGTAGAACCAAAGTTCTGACCATGGACAAACAAGAAGGAGAAGACAGCTTTTCAATCTTGAAGGCATAGGAGCACACAGATAGATTTCCATCTAAGCCCTTGGTGGAGAGTCATGTTGGGACAGGGCCCTCCTCTGAGCTTGTTCGGGCCAAATGCATCCCTCCATTCAGTGGCTTCCTCTCGGAAAACCAATGATGATCTCACCCCAAAATGGTCCAGCTCAGACCCACATAGGTTTGCAGTGATGCCTTTTGCCTCTTCCTCCTTCCACCGCTTTAGCCCCATACGGGAGGGACAAGGGGTAAAATATTGGAGATGCCACTGGTGGTGCGAGTGGACACCCGGTGGCTTGGCTCCTTCTTGGCAGAGCCTGTTGGTGAGCATGTCAAAGCCAGAGCCAACGGGAAACCAACCATACATGGAAAACTCTGAGCTCTCTAGGAGAAATCTAAGTTTCCTAAGTAATGTTAAAACTGAGCCGAAGAGAATCCTATTTAAATAGGTAGCCAACCAGGCATTACATTAATTCCGAATTCCTTTCGTTTCCAGCTACTTACCGCAGCAGCTCCCCTCACAGACACAGGCGGTCCTGCATGGCGGTCACACCTGTGGAAAGAATTGGAAATAATTTCTTTGAAGAAGTGCCTTTTTTAAAAAAAATTCTTTATTGACTTCTGGTATCACATAGTTGTCCTCTTCCCCCATTCCCATCCCAAACCTCTCCCCATGTATGCCCCAACCCCCTGTTGTCCATGACCACTGGTTAGGCTTATATGCATGCACACAAGTCCTTTGGTTGATCTCTCCCCTTTGCACCTCCCCTCCCCTACCTTCCCTCTGAGGTTTGACAGTCTGATCGCTGTGTCTTTGTCTCCAGGTCTGTTTCTGTTCATGTTTATATTGTTCATTATTTCCCCTAGATGTGTTAGATCATGTGATACAAGGAATTCCCTTATAAGAACTGAAACTAAGACAAGCCATAATAGTTATGCTGAGACACAAATGTATCAGTCTGTAGTGAGTTCCTTTCTGGGCCAACAGTTCTTTTGAGTCCCAATTTCAATGTCAAACAGTTCCTTATGTGTACATGCCAGCCATGGTATTTCAGATCTGGTTGGTGGACAAATGATGTCTCTGGTTTGGTCCTGGGCATCCTTCAGCGACACACAGCTGCTATCTGCTAGTATGGCAAGGCATTTTCAGCATCTTCCTTCTCTGTCTGTTTCTCAAGAAGTGCCTAACTTTTTACTGGGAGGAAAATCAACAGCCATCCGCCATTATACTTTGCTATCTGAAGAAGATATATTTCTACTGCTCTGTAGATTTCTTAGTGCATTGTTGAAAACGAGTTTCAGAAATCTTTTCCTATGATTGCTCAGGATGGATGTTTTTATATCTTTGTCACTCAGGGAGTCAAGAAGAAATTACGTAATAGTGGGTTTGTGTTTGAGCACAGCATGAACATAAGAGCAACATGGTTACATTTGTTGAGTGGTTAGCATATGGGCAGGCAGTGCTCTTGCAGATGCTCATATTAACTCACTTACATACATCATTCCATAAAGTGGGTACTGTGTCTATTCCCCTTTCAGGAGATGGAGGTCCAGAGAAGGTAGGAGACACTGCCCCAGCCCTATATCAGTGATTTTCAACTTTTTCCATCTCATAGCACATGTAAACTACTAGCATTCTGTGGTACACCAAAAATATATTTTGTTCAATCTGACAGTAAATAGGTATAATTTTGATTCATTCACACAGGACAGCTATTGTGTTGGCTGTTGTGATTAAAAAAACTTTTAAAAAATTGATTTCAAAGAGGAAGGGAGAGGGAGAGATAGAAACATCAATGATGAGAGTGAATCATTTTTAACAAGCTACCTCCTGCATTTCCCCTACCGGGAAATCGAACGGTGACCTCTTGGTTCATAGGTTGACACTCAACCACTGAGCCACACCAGCCAGGCCATTATCATTTTTTACTTGACAATCTAAGAGAAAAGAGGTCAGAGCCCCTGACTACATAGTCAGGTACTGTACGTTATAAAAATTCTTGGGGCACACTGGTTGAAAATCACTGCTCTCTATTGATAATATTTTTAAGTTAAATACTGCTTTTATTTTAATTCTTCCTTTTGCTATAGCCTTACTGAGCCTACCTGCCTCCAACCTGGTTGGCACTATTTTGAATGCTTTGAAGGAAACACAGCCCACTGCCACAGGGACCCTGCTCTCTGAGGGCACTTACTAGTATTGGAGGGAAGACTGGATACCTAAGGAGCCCAAACACAAGCCAAGGTGCGGTAAGGACATTAGAGAGATGTTAGTAAAATGCATTGAAAGTGCAGAGGGGCCAGGGAACACTTCCTGGGATGAGCAGGGAAGGGCACAGGGAGAAGATGAGGGCTAAAACTGGTAGCAGAGACAAAGGACAGCCGGAGCAAAGGCCTGGAGATGGGAAAGAGCAAGGGAGGCTGGGGATGGGGCAACTAATTCAAATTTTCAGGAGCCAGGAGAACGTGCCAGATGGCTAACCCATTTTCCAGAGCCCTAAGGGGCTGCAGCCTTCCCGTGCACCCATACAGTTTGACATGCTCCCCAGCTCCTCAGGCCCCGGTTTGATTGAAAAACGAAGGATGAAAATGAGGGCAGGGGCATGAGTCAATGTCTGAGAGTGGCAGGTGGAGAAGGTGTGACTTCAGAGGGTGCCTGGAGCGCCACAGGGACAGAGCGCCACGGAGGGGTTTCAGGATGCATGCTCCCTGAGGGTGTGCAAAACTGTGTGCGGTTGTGGATTTAGGCTGCAGGGGACAGGACTCAGCCTGCTTGGTGGCCCAGAATCTCTGCACCCACTCCCAGGCCCTCCTAAAAGTTATGTTTCTGATGTGAATGGCTTCTGTGTACAGAGGAAATAAAAGCAACAGTGGCATCATGAAAACTATGGCGGCAAAATCCTCTGGACTTAGTGATTTCAAGGGTTACAAAGCTACCTCATCTTCTTGCACTTAGTCTCAAATCCCACATCTTAAAGCTCGCTCACTTATGTCCCCATTTCTCCGACTCCACTCATTCTTATACCAAACTCCCACTGTTTCTCTCCTGGACTTCTTTCCATCCTTTCTTTCCTATCATTAGAGAAATATGTCTAAAAAATGCAAGTATATTGCCAAAACTGGTTTGGCTCGGTGGATAGAGCCTCGGTCTGAGGACTGAAGGGTCCCAGGTTCGATTCTGGTCAAGAGCATGTACCTTGGTTGTGGGCACATCCCTGGGAGGGGGTGTGCAGGAGGCAGCTGGTCATGTTTCTCTTTCATCCATGTTTCTAACTCTCAATCCCTCTTCTTTCCTCTCTGCAAAAAATCAGTAAAATATATTTTTAAAAATGCAAATATAATCTTGATAAGTATCAATTTCCTACTTATAGTCTTATAAGGTATAATCCAACATCTTAACTAGGCTTTTCTTTTTTTTCTCCCCCCACCCCCCCTCCATCTGATGAGTCCCCTAAAAAGCCCTGATCCTTCTCTAGGTACCTGTATGCTAGACTTCCTAAATGTATTCTTCCGCCATAAAATATTCTCACTTGTCTCTATCCCTTTGCAGATACCATTCAGAGATCCCCATTCAGCAGATATTTCTCCATTGACTTTTAGAGAGAGTGGAAGAGAGGAGAGAGAGAGAGATAGAGATAGAGAGAGAGAAAGAGAGAGAGAGAGAGAGACAGACATCGATGTAAGAAAGACACATAGATCGAGTGCCTTCTCCATGTGCACAGACCAGGGCATCAAGCCTGAAACCAAGATATGTGCCCTTAACCAGAATCAACCCAGGACTTTCAGTCCACAGGCTCACGCTCTATCTACTGAGCCAAACCAGCTAAGGCTCAAGAATATTCTTTCCTAACTAAAGCCCTGGGTCGTTTCCCCCATATATTGGTGGCCACGCTCTATTACCCACTACGGGAGACCTTCACTGGGTGAACACAGGCAGTTCAGACCTTGCGTGTCTCTTTCCACACCCACTCCATCCTGCCTCATGGGCGGGTAGATTCTGTTGATTCAAATTCAGAAATCCCTCTCAAAACTATCCCTATCTCCCTGCCTTTTCCCTCATTAAGACAGTTATCATCTTTTGCCTTTACTATTGCAATAGTCCCTTAACTGTTCTTCTGTCTCCAGGTTTTGCTCTAATCCAGTCCATTCTTTATACCAGTGATTTTCAACTTTTTCATCTCATGGCACACATAGACTAAAATTCTGCTGCACACCCCAAAAATATTATATTTTTTCCTGATGTGACAAATAGGTATAATTTTAATTCATGCACATCAGGTGGCTATGGTTATATTGACTGCTGTCATTTTTTAAATGAATTTGACAACCTAAGGGAAAAGAGGTCAGTACTCCTCGCCAAATAGTCAGGTATTGTATGTTTTAAAAATTCTTATGACACACCAGCTGAAACTTTCTTCAGAGTGATCAGTATAAACTGACACATGCCACTTCCTGCTTAACATTTTAATGATTCCCATTATACAGAGAAGAAAGTTCACATTCTTCTCTGCATTCAGAAGACCCTATGCCACCTTGTTCCTGATACTTTCCAGCCTCGGATCTCACCTTCCTCTATCCCTTCTGCCACAGGAAGTTAGCCACACTCCTGAACCTATGCACTCACTGTTCCTTTGCTGGGAACAGTTTTCTACCTTTGTTTGCCTAAATAACTATCTCATCCTTGAAGAATCATTATAAACTTTATTCTCCCTGGCAGACCTGCCCAGACTTCGATTCTTAGTCTAAGACGGTGGTCAGCAAACTCATTAGTCAACAGAGCCAAATACCAACAGTACAACTATTGAAATTTCTCTTGAGAGCCAATTTTTTTTTAACTTAAACTTCTAATGCAATTTCTTCAAAACAGACTCACCCAGGCCAAAGAGTATTTTATGGAAGAGCCACACTCAACGGGCCAAAGAGCCAAATGTGGCTCGAGAGCCGGTTTGCCGATCACGGGTCTAAGATACCCCCTAACCCTCACCCACCGTGCTCCCAGAGCACGCAGACCTTCCCCTTCTTAGCACACGTCTATGTTTCTGTTTCCTTTTTGTTGTCATGGTGAAGGCCTGGGAAGCCCAGGACCGTTGCTTTGCTCCACCATGCTGCGAACTGAATTCCTCCAACAGCATTCCTTGAATGAAGGAGCCAGTGTGTTTATTTTGCTTCCCATCTCCTCTGCTCCTCCTCCTGTATTCTTCGCCATCATCCACCTAGTTCCCTGAGTCAGAGGGCAGAGTTAATCTCCACTCTCCTTTCTTCCTCAGCCACCATATCCAGCTGCCAGGTTCTCATGATTCCATGTTCTAAACTGTGCACAGATCTGTCTACCTTTGCCTTCCGCATTGCCACTACCTTCGTTTAAGCCGCTGCCATCTTGGCGGTCTCTTCCCTGGGCTCCCTACTCAAATTTCCCCCCTCGAATCTGCTCTTTGAGTCACAGCTGGAGGAGTTCTCGGCCCGGGCACTCCTGGCCTGTCTGTGGTGTGGTGGTCTGTCGCATGCATTGAAGAGTGTTCAGCAACACCTCTGACCCCTGCACACCAGATACCA